TTGAACCATGTTGATTCTAAATTTATTCTTGATTCCAGCACTTGTGATACATGTCATTTTTCTAAATTCATAGGTTACCTTTTGGAATTAGTGACCATGTTTCTTCTACTAGTTTTGAATTTGTTCACTCTGATGTATGGGGGGCTTACCCGAGTTGACTCTTATGATGGTTTATTACTTTTATTGATGACAAATCTCATTGCATATAACTTTACTTATTGAGCTATAAGTCTTAAGTGTGTAATATTTTTCAGGCATTTTTTCAAATGATTAAAAATCAATTTAGGGTGAGCATTAAAATTTTACGTAGTGACAATGGTGCCAAATATGTTAATTACTCCATGCAGACGTTTCTTAAATCTATAGGAATTTTTCAACAGTTATCTTGTGTCGATACCCCTCAACTGAAAGGCATTGTCAGGCGAAAGAATTGGCATATACTAGAGGTAACTCGGTCCTTGCTTTTTCATGGCAATATTCCCTTTTATTTTTGTCCTATGCAATACTCACAAGTTGTTACCTTATCAACCGCACACCCAGCAAACAACTTTAGTAAAAATCTCTATTGGCATTTCTCTATGGTCGAGATATTGATCTTTCACATTTACGAGTCTTTGGTTGTGTATGCTTTGTTCACTTGCAAAATTCCAACAAGCACGAGCCTCTTGCCACTAAGTGCATTTTCTTAGGATACTTGACTGTCAGAAAGTGCTACAAGTGTTATGATTTTGTTGCCAGGAAGTTATATATTTCTCAAGATTATTATTTCGGTGCAAGGACTATGTACTTCTCTTCCAAGGATAAAAACCAGGGGGAGATTGGAACCGTAACTCAACTTGATTTTTCTCTCATGACAATTTCATGTGAACTAACACATATAGTTGATGCAGTACCACCAACAAATAGGGTACCAGATGCAGTCCCACCAGAAAATGTAGTACTAGATGAAGCACCATTGACAGTTGTACCAGATGTAGCATAAACCCTTCTTGATTTTCCTGAAGCCAAGATATCCACCTCTAATCCACCAGTAATACAAGATCAACCCATACGAAGGTCCACCAGAACCATTAGACCATCAACCAAATTAAAGGACTATGTTTCTATGGTTGTCACTTATCCTATTCAAGATTATGTTTGTCTTGACCATGTTTCTAATAGACACAAGGCCTTCATGACTGCCATTGACAAGCATTATGAACCTGCCACCTTCGAAGAAGCAAAGCTAATTCCAGAATGGAAAGCTGCTATGAATGATGAACTTGTTGCTCTTGATAAAAACCACACTTGGGAAATTGTTACTCTTCCCAAAGGCAAACACATTGTTAGTTGCAGGTGGATTTATAAAATCAAATATCAAAGTAATGGGTCCATTGAGCGACACAAAGCTCGACTTGTTGGTAAAGGGTACACTCAGACTTATGGTGTAAAATACACAGAGAGCTTTGCACCGGTAGCAAAAATGAACACAATAAGGGTCCTTATATTAGTTGTCATCTATCACAAATGTCCACTATTCTAAATGGATGTTAAAAATTCCTTTTTTAATGGAGAACTTGAAGAGAAGGCCTACATGTATCTACCTCCAGGTCACCTTCTTGAATATCAACCAGGTGCGAGCAATCTATGGCCTAAAGCAATCTCATTGCACCTAGTATGGAAAGTTGAGCAAGGCACTCATTGCATTGGGGTTCTTCAAAAGCAAGTCAGATTATACCTTATTTATCAAACACTAGGCTAGAAATACTATTGTGGTCCTTATCTATGTAGATGATATAGTTATTTCCAAGAGTAATATGATCGAGATAAGTAAATTAAAGAAATATCTCAATATGACCTTTGACATTAAAGACTTGGTGCATTTAAAGTATTTCCTCATAATTAAAATTACTTAATCTAATAAAAGGTTATTCATAACACAAAGAAAATGTGTATTAGATCTCTTGAAAGAGACTAGTAAGTTGGCATCCAAACCGGTTGATACTCCCATGGAATATAAGGGTAAGTTTGAAAATGACTCCACTCCTCTATCTAACCCAAGACAATTTCGGAGACTTATTGGCAAGTTAATCTATTCCACCATAACTAGACCAGATATCTCTTATTTGGTAAGGTACGTTAGTCAATTCCTACACAAACCAACATAAGATTACATGAATCTAGCATATTGTATACTTAGAAACTTGAAGTCCTGTCCAAAAAAAGGCATATGGTTAAAAAGGAATAGCCACACTGATATTGTTGGGTATGCTGATGTTGATTGGGCTGGTAGCTATCATAACAGACGATCTACCTCAGGTTTTTGAATTTTTATGGGAGGCAACCTTGTTTTACTTGGAAAAGTAAAAAATAAAGTGTAGTAGCTCGTTTCAGTGTAGAAGCTAAATATCATGTTATGGCCTAAGCCACCAGTGATCTTATTTTGCTCAAAGATATCATGTTCGATCTCACCTTAAAGAAAATGGAATTCCCTATTAAGTTGTATTATGATAACGAAGCAGCTATTCATATCACATCTAATCTAGTGTTTCACGAGAAAACTAAACACGTTGAAGTAGACTACCATTTTGTTCGAGAAAAAGTTCAAGTTAAGATAATTGAGACACCATATATCCGAAGCGAAGACCAAGTAGCAGACATGTTCACAAAAGCTCTTCCTAAGAACTCCTTTCAAAACATCATTACCAAGCTAGCCTTGATTGATATCTTCGCCTCAACTTGGAGGGGGAGTGTTAGAGATATCAGAGGGGATAAATTATGGGATTTGATTAATTGGAATCATGTATCAAATATAGCTTATGAAGATGGCAACAAACCATCTGATTTCTTTGATTGTGGACAAAATAATGTGGCTCAATTATTGTATCACTTATTATTTATATTGAAGGGAAGCCCTTCAGTGGCGAACCTATTCAATTGCAACTGACTACAAGTGCACACATAAAGTTTCCTCCAGGACATTTTTTGTACTTCTTTAATGGTCGAAAAAATTGCACTTGCCATTCTCGGCTTCCCGTCTTACTCATTATTTGCGCGATGTTGTGCACACGCTTGCTTGACACACATGTGAGTATTCTAATACCTCTGTGTCCAAAGTTGATTAGTTCAATGATTTTACTATTTTTAATGTTAATTATTTTATTTTATTTTGAAAATTAACGCTAATTATTTGTCCATGTCCTAATATTCCACGACCTTATTCCTTCGTCCATCACATTGTAATTTTTTGGTAGAAAAGGCATAACAAGGGAGGAAATGGTGACCCTTTTGGGTGCACATATTGTTAGTGTTGCATACTATCATTTTTTTTCTACTAGACTTGGTGGGGTACATGATCAGTGGCGAACCTACTATTGCGCACTTGCCCACAAGTGTGCAAGTGACCGCAAATTTTTTTATTTTTAATACGTTTAAAACTTTGTTTAAAAAAAATTCTAAAACGTTGCCCCTAAACCCCAAAACCCCGACAATAAATGTGCAGACATAAATAAAAAATTTTAGGTTCGCTACTGGAGCCTTTGATCATCACTAAGAGGGGGAGAAAGGTTATCAGTGTGGATGTAGATAGAATAGCTGAATCATGATAAATTTATGTGTCCTTTATATTTTTACAGAAGAATAACAGAGAGAGCTAGTTGCTAAAAGTACTGAATAGGCATCCGTGCCAATGCCCTTTACACAAGATCTAGCTAGTTAGGATATGCAAAATGCCACCCAACCGTACTAGGCCAATAAAGAGGTATAAGACATCATCATCTATGTGGATCAATTGGAGGAGAGTTGTATTAACTTAATTAGCAATATCAAATTCGAGTCTTAGGTATACAACTATGTATTAAAATTTGATAAGGAAAGCTTTTTACCTTTATAGTCCTACCCGGTTCGAATCCTTATTAGACAGCACCCGCTAACAACCAAATACCAGATAATTTATACCTTAAAAAAAGAACTATAAGACTTATTTATATTCATTACAAAAAAATGAATAAATGCCGACTGATTTTCTGAAACGGCTTCGGTTCAATGTACACTTTAATACAATTTATTTGGCGTATATTAAAAGGGAAAAGCAAATGTCATGTTACAAGCAATTTTTGTTTCCTCTATGCTCTCAGTTCGTTCTCCGTGCCAGATTTTTTCTTCAATTTTTTTCTAATATTTGGTAGACTCTACAAAAACATATCTCTGTAACATAATGTACCAATTTTCCTGTTACATGACATTAACAAAACCCATATTAAATGAGCTCGTTCAGGGCGAGTATTAACCTTCCTTAATAATGAAATTTATTAATTCAAAATATATCTCATTATAAATTTACTTTATAATTTAAATTATACATATGATACTAAACAATTGTTTTCTAAAATAAACTCGTATATAAAGTGCACAAATCACAATTAAGAGTATATTTATTCGTAAATTTTAATAGATAAATATCACGAAATAATTTAAATTACATTAAGAGTGAATAATTATTATTTATACATTATAGACAAGTTCACTTTAAATTTTAAAGAGCACCGTTATGTTAATTTTTAATCACAAATAAGTTAAAACATGATATAAGATAAGTTCGAATAATTTAAAATTAAAATTTCATATAAAGTTAAACCGATGACTAAATCATAAATAATATGCTCATGATGGAAGCAAAATCTCAGCGTACAATAAACAAACTAAAAAAATGGCGCTAGTAATTTGAGTGTACATGACGTCTCAAACAAACCAAATTTTTTTAAAACTAGGTAGCGGGTGTTGTGTTATCCCCAACAATAACAAAAGTAAAAAATAAAGAAGAACATGGCTTGAAGAGTTGAATTTTCCACAAAAGTGAGTGGTACTTCTTTAAATAAACAGAAAGTCAAGGGGCAAAATAGTAACCTAGTTGGGTTTAGAATCCCATATAAACTCCACCCCATGAGTCATGGACCCAACACACTCACACACAAAAAAAAATAGAAAAACTCATCACACAAATTCACAACTTACAAACAAAAATGTTTACCCCATCCAATCTCAAAACCTTGCACCCTCATCAAGTTTCCTCAGCAAAATCAACACCATCTTCAGCCATAAGCTCAATGAAGATCAAAAACCTTATCCACACCCTTATAGTCTCTCACATGTGTAGAATCATTCGTGCACTGTCCAAAGTCAAAGCCTTTATCATTGAGATTCTTAAGGAAAACCATTCCAACATTCACTTCCCTTACCCTTCTCATAAAAAGCATTGCAGCAAAAGCAAGAGGATCATTTTGGGTTCCTTCAGGCTTCACTATAACTGGTGTTCTTCCAAATCTTCTCATGTTCTTCCAGTCCCTTCTCGAGTCTATGAAGGTTTGCCTTCAGCTGGTGGTGAAGATTGCCATGACTCACAGCTAGCAGGGTACCTTCAATGGCTTGAGGAGAAGGTTAATGATGGTGGTGTTAATAATGAAGGTGCTAAAAATCATGAACAGGATGAGATTCACGAGATTGATATGCTAGCGGAAATGTTCATAGCCAATTGCCATGAGAAATTCAGGTTGGAAAAGCAAGAATCTGATAGGAATTTTCAAGAAATGTTGGCTAGGAGCATGTGAAACAATTAACAAAGGTGCATGTTTGATGTTTATGTTGCACAAAATACCAAGTTCAGTCACACTTGTTAATTAGCGTGGGGAAAAACTTATTGTTATTATTATATCCATGGGGTGTAATAAAGATATGGTCTTTATAATTTGCCTTTTCCTTTATTGTAACTTCCCAAAAGACCCAAAAGATGAAAAGTGAAGTGGGATCGATAATAGGGAATTGCGCAATGCTAGCTTATGTTCATAATCATATGGGGTTTTATTTCACTTGTCGTTGCAGGCTTGTTTTGATGGAACTGCAGTTTATAATTAACTCTCTCTTTCTCTTTCTTGCCTCTTCACCAGTGTTTTTTTTTTTTTTTGGTATAAGAACCATGTGATACCAGCAATTTGCATATAATAAAACTTTGTACTTTTATTTCCCATAAGGAAAATGATATAAAATGTTAGTGAGTTCTACTTAATTAGGCAAAGTTGATATTATATTTATACAAGCATATATAGCATAGGCGGACCTACATGGGTTAGGGAGGGCTCCCGCCTCCCCTAAAATATATGGAGAAAAAATAATTATTAGTGTTATTAATATGTGACTGTCCATCAGCATAATAAGACCGAAAGAAAATGATTGTTTCTTGTGGTTTGTGCACAATAACAAATAATTTATTTAAATATGAATTTGAATAATTTCATGTCTTACTTTTCTAGTTTTATATAGTTTTAAAAATGAAAACATACCAACATGTAAATACACCTTATCCACAAACACATTGCTAAGTTGGCAAGGAATATTGAGAATTCTGTCATTCTTACTAAAAACGTTCCAGTAATTTTTTTCATAATTAATTTTATTATTTTAATATTAGAAGAAAAAAAACCATGTTGGTGTTAATGTAGCGCTTTGAGAGCTCAAGGCTTCTATTTATGTTACTTTCGCCTTTTTATTTAAATTCGAAACACATACCGTATTGTTTTAAAAAAAACTAATTTTATTTTATTATAGTCTTTTACTAGTAATCCAACTTATCCACTAATGCAAAAAAAAAAAAAAAAAATTGGTAGATAACTTAGAGGTATTCTCACAGAACCTCCTCCAGTTACTTTATCTTTGGAATTCGGCTCTAAGACTAACTCCTCATTTAAATATAAGATGCATTTGACCATTGTCACATGAGGCGAAAAAAATTATGATACATTTTACAAAAATTATAGCAAAAAATTTTTAATCTAAAATAATTCTGTAATTTTATTAGGTTCTTCGTAGCAGATATTTTTGCATCCTTAGAATGATTATTCCAACAAAATTTTATTTTTGCATTGTCTTTTCATAATAATAAAATAAAATTTTGCCACATGACATATAATTTACTGGATCCGTAACTAATATATAGGTTCATGGTTCTAAACCGTGGCCAGCATAATCTAATGCGGTCCCAATATTGTGGTTGCGAGTTGCGACAGTGACTGCAACAGCATCACCTATAGCAATTGTATATAGTGTGATTTAAAATCACAGTAAAATACTATAACGTAACGGCATTTCAACTGCAACGGAACTGCATTTCAATCATAATATGTCGCAACAAATGATTATGGATTTCAAAGGCTAATTTATAATTATTGTAACAATAATTTTGTTATAAATTTAGTTTAATTATTCATTGAAATCATATATACATAGTCTTGTAATTGAGTAAAAAAATTATATAATACTAAAATTATGTGTAAACATTAAAAAAAAAAAAAATTCATGTCACAATTAATGAACCACTTTTTAAAACCATAGGTTATATAGCTAGAGTTGTTGTCTTATATGTGGTCATAAGTTTAATAAGGGACATTTCACATGCAAAGCCGTATAACTTCATACGGCGCCATGTCTTCTGGGGATCTAAATATCGTTCTAAATTAGTGGACAATAACATCTTATCCATCATTAAAGCGATTTTTGGTGCTACTCCCTTGTTTGCTATTGTTTGTGTGGGTTGTGGCCAAAATGAATGAAAAAGAAATATCATGATATACTAGTTCATATGTTAAAACATTCATTTACTGATTACCAAAAAAAAAAAAAAACATTCATTTACTAGGTTGCCCCTAGTTTCATGTTTAGTATTCCTTGTTTTCATGGGAACTACAAAAATTTAAGCCTCTTGAAGCTTCCAAACCGCATCTCTTGCTGATTGAATATATCCTTAAGCTCATGTCAGTCTATGTGGACCATGGTTTTGCAGAAGAACTCACATAATTAAGTCCAATTTTGTTTAAAATGTTTTTGGTTAGACCACGAGGCGTCTGTGTACTTTTTTAGTGTAAGAATAATCCCGATAAGAACGATGCTTGGCTTTCTCCACAAGGTGCTTATGGTGTTTGTTAACCATTTTAGTTTCTATTCAACGTGTACTATATAAGATTTAATAAATGTTTGTTAAACATTATAGTTTCTATTTAATATGCACTAAGATTTGATAAATGTTAGTTAACCTTTTTGGTTTCAATTTAATATCTACTAAGATTTAATAAAGAGTGGACTCAGTCTATACCCAACTCAACTACTCCAATCCTCCAATGTTTGATGTTTGTCCTTGAATTTATATTCAAAAACATTTAATGAAATTTTAAAAAGAAAAGCATAAGGGAAGGTGAAATTCTTAAGAAGGTACAAATTGTGCTCTATGTACCTACCTAGGTGCAAGATACACTAGCAGAAAAGACTAGGTCTTGGGTTCATAACCAATAATTTTAATCTTGACACTGACATAGATAACAATAATTTAAAATCATGGTCCCCATCAGATAGGTAATTGCATGGATCAAGATGCAGGAATATTGACCCACTACCAGACAGCTAGACACATATTAGAAACTGGCAAGATAGTTATATAGCGATAGATCCAACATCTAGTACTTTTTAAACTCAAAAATCATGTTCACAAGTAAAGTAATACTAACACAATAAACTTGTCAGTTGTCAACTATTTCTGCAAATGTGATATAAATCAAATATTTTCCTTTCCACTTGATTGTGTTCTGTCTCACTTGACTAGAATAGCATGTGAGAAAAAGAGGAAAAGGGAAAGCTTGTAACCTTACTGCAGGAAGAACACGTCCATGACAACAGCATATAGTCATTGATGTCATGTGCTGATGCACTTATCAAACCAAAGTTGTACACTTTTATCTGAATTCGTACATCAATTAGTTTTGATGACTATCCAGATCAGCAAAGTGTGAAATTTCCTTCCTTATCTCAGTAATACACTCTATATATACTTTCTTTGAATACCTAGTTCATATATCACATATGCCAGCTGGAATTCTTGGTTAGGGGATTTCAATAATTAAGCAAAATTCGCTCTCTTCAAGTAAAATAAATGGAGAAATGAGAATGGTTCCTGAATATCAGAGAAATAAATTTAATTTATAGTATTCACTACAAAAGCAGACGGCGAATCTTGAAACAACGGTAAAATTGTTCCTTTCGATAAATCTGAGAGCCTCTTTGTAAAATATTATGAGCAAGACGGTGTAAAATCGATTCTCATCTCTATACTCGCAAGTCAAGAAGACTTGTGTATCAAGATTTGTCCTTTATTTACTACAAAAACAATTAATTGATTTTATGAAAATAGATAAGGAGTTTAAAGGAGGGCGAGCCTTGAAATAGTAGTAAGGTTGTTACTTTTAACCAGAAGGTCATGAGTTAGAATTTGAAAAACAATCTCTTTATGAAAAATGTAAGAGTGAGACTACATACAATTGACCATCACTCTTATTCTTATAAGTCGGGAAATCTTGTGCATCAAAATTTGCCTTTTAGATTAGGAGTCTACGATGATCATGGTTCATGGGTCAATGTTGATTGATGTTTGATCTTGAAGAACCCTGTAAGGATCTGCTAATTAAACAAGTGATAAATAATTTGGGAGATAGACAAATAAGAATACAAATATTTGTCCTGTTCAGACATGTGATGCCTGCGCTGTCTTAGCACGAGGCAAAGTTTGATTAATTAAGAATTTATATAATGAAATATGCAATAACCTTGCATCAGATGCGCATGCATGATTGGACTGAATGCACAAACAATGATAAGGAATCTAAATTGTGATTAATCTTTTAGAGTTAAGTACCCACATATGGTTTACCAAAAAAAAAAGTACCCACATATGTAGCTAGCTTGCACAATGCACCTCCTAGTGTTTTTTCAAGTACATGGATGGTTCTTAGGACAATAAAGGAAAACGGGCAAGGCATCAATATTGATGCCTCTTTTGTTCTCATGAATTTCCCTTTATTCCAAAACTTCTTTAGCTACTTTATTACAGAAAAAAGAGACATGGAAGCTTTAATAGAGAGGCAGGCAAATCAGGTTCCATTGGTCTCCTTGTTACCTGATGAATGGACTGCCTTTTTTTTTTTTGGATAAATGAATGGACTGCCTTTAAACATAAAAAGTGAATGCCTGGAACCTCTTGGGATTTTATTCTAGAATAGATCATATGGATTAGATGGTGGAGCTGGAGCTGCATATATCTACCTGCTGTTTCTCACCTTAAGAGAGCATTTGATAGAGGAGAATTTTTTTTTTTATCTAGAAATCACGATTTGCAGGAATATGATGGAAATATTAATTTTCTGAGAATGTTACCAAAAAATTATTTGGTAGACCAAAATATTCCCATAAATATTGAGTTATTGTTCTTGATGCTATGTTTAGTTGTATTAAATTTTCTCTTGCTATACAAATCCTAGAATATCACCCCTGGATGGTATTTTCAAAAAAAAAAATTACACATAAAATAAAATCCCAGGAAAATCATATTCCCAAATTTTTTTAAAAAAACTTGTACCAAACGTGAGTAAATACAATTACTACTTTTGATTTTTCGGGAATTCTAAAAAAAAATCTTGTAACAAACGCCCTTAAAGGATACTTGACAGTATGGATAACAAAAAATTATGAAGCTAATCAACGATGACGGGAGATGAGAGAGAAAGTACGTAATTATAGAAAATGAGAAAAAAAATAACTATTGCTTTTGTCTATATAGAATCAAATTAATCTCAAATGTTAAATAAGATATGAGAATATTCATTCCTGAATTTTACCACTAATGATAAAATTTTAGTAGGAAATAAAAGAAAGAAGGTCTAATATTCTTG